TTTATTGAGATCTCCTTTAAAAAAAAAACTGATATTAATTAACATTTATAGAGATTTAATGTTAAATGATACTACATTTAATTAATAATTCAAACAAAGAACAGTAAGCTAAATGAAGAGATTAAAATAAAGATTGATTTAAATTACTTAATTGAAACCTAACTTAACAAAAAACTACATGATTATTTCATAAGATATTCTGATAATTTATTTAATTTATTACTATTTATAAACATAAGTCTTAATAGATATAATTAAGAATTTTGTAAAATTAATTTATAAATAGTAAAAGATATATTTAATAAAAAAGATAATAATCAAAAAGATATGACAAGAATTAAAAAAATAAAGTTAATCTTAGAATATAATCTAAACTATATAACAAAGTTAATACAATATGATATTGATTAATTTTAACACTACTCTAAGATATTAAAAAAACTTTGAAAACATATTGAAAAAGTAGTATATTTTGGTATATTATTAATATATAAGGAGATTATTATATCTTCTCTAACCGTATTCTATGTGAATCTTAATTATTGATTAACTTGAGCTCAACTTGAAATTTTACATACATCAAATAATAAACAGTTATTACTCAATGTGCAGATTAATTATGTTTAGTATCTTCTAAATAAATAATTTTAATAAATTTTTTAACTCTTCTATTTTAGTATATTATATAAGTATAGTTAGATCATAGGATATTCTAAAAAACAAATAAACACTTTTTAAACTAAGCCTTATAAGTAAAAGGCTCAACCAAAATAAAAGTTGTCCCTTCATTGATATTTTAGCAGGAAAAAAGAAACAAATCTTCATTTGATTCATCTTCATCTCTATCTGCAAAGACGTCGGTTGATTACATCATTAATTAAAATATAAAACTTACTTTATTGGTTTTATATAAGGATACATTATCGAATATAAGATGAATAATATAATTAACATATCCCTAACTTCAAAAATGAAGAAAGTATGATGATCAAGCAATCCATCTTTTATTTCTTGATATTAGAAATAATTAACCCTCGAACTTCGCTCTCTTGTCCTACTAGTTGTTCAGCATACAGTAGAACTAGTGGCATTTGTATTATTTGTAGTGCTTCCTTATCGGGATATTACTTAATAGGGTAAAATTATAATGCATGCCCGGCAAGTGATTGTCTACAATGTCAACTACTATGTTTAACTTGTGTAGCAGGTAATTCAAATTGTTAAACATGTAATGACTCAGCTAATTAAGAAGGTTCTGCCTGGTAATGCAAAGCACGAGATATTATGAAAAATGCAATTAATGTAATTTACTGTACCAAATATTAAAAAATTTAATTATTGTTTAACATCTACTTCAACCTATAATATGAGTAAAATAGTGCAGTGATTCTAATTTTTATATAGTATGAATAATCACCACTTAAATTATGAATAAATAAATTACCGCTTGTACAACTTATAATGAACAGTACAAAAATTGAAGTTCAAGTACAATTTTTACAACATACAATGACCCGATTCTTTAAACAGAATCTCCTGCTCATCTCCAACAATTATCTATTTGAAAGCCTCTTTTTATGTGTTAAAGTTGTGTAAGCCTTTGCCTAAATTATTGGTGATTATTCTGATCAAATTAAGAATAGATGTTATTCTAATCGTCGAGATTCATTTAAAACTACAGAAGGTGAATGCGATGATGGTAATTAGTTATCAGGGGATGCATGCAATCAATATTTTAAATAGGAGAAATAAATCCTTTGTAAAGATGGAATATATATTATTAATCATGAAAGTATAACACTGTATTATACGTGAATATCCTATTCCAGTATTATTCAGCTATGGAGATTCTTCTTTATTTCCAAGCAGCAACCTTCAATCATTTTGATATTTGTCATATTTATTACAGATAATTACTTTCGGAAAAAGTTTATCCTATAACAATATATCAATCCTTAAAAAAATAAAAATAAAGTATTATTTAAAAGTAAATAAATGATACGTTGTAATAATAAAAGAACATTTAAATTAGAATATAATCCAATTTTAGATTTGTCTCAAGATAATATTATAGGGATTATATATAAAAAAAATGAATATTAATCCAATAGATATTCCTTATATTAGAGAAAGATAATATTCATTTAATAATAGATTCTATTATCAAGGCAACATTAGTTTTTCAAGATAATTATTTAATAGACGTACAACATATAAAGAGCTTTTAATTAAATATCTTAATGTAGAATAGATTATATCAAATAAGGTATTTTATGAATTCCTATTTAAAATATCTATACTCATAAATATAAAATAAAATTTTGGCTTTAATTGCTAAATTTATTTATATAGATCAAACTGCTGTTGCTTTAAGTTGAAATGGCTACATCTAGCAATTTATTTTGTTATGTATTAAGGCTTTTACGTGGAGTAGCATTTTTTTTTGTTGGATAAGAAATGTTTGAGAAGCTAATTTATATATATATATGTAATTAAACTATAATATCTAAAAATTATCATATTGTAGATTAAAAGTAAAATCTCTTAATAAAATTAAATAAAGGGAATTGTTGTTTCAGATTAATTTCTGATATAAACTTAACTATCAGTTAGAGATAAATTCGTTTTTAAATAAAATAACTGTGATTAAAAAGTTGAAATATGGATGAAGCGATATATATTCAAATAAAAATTAATTATAAAAATTCGAAATAATACTATTTAATTGTCAATAAATTTAAAAGAACATAAAATAATAAATCTGATTCAAA